TTCATATCATAATAATAATATTATAATAATATAATAATATTTCATATCATAAATTAAAATATTTCATTCTATTATTTAAGCGAACTTATATGGTATCAATTACTTCGTCAGCATTCGTACCTCATGCAAATCTGAATAAAATGAAGCAATCAGTTCTAATTTTTCATTAATCATCCATTCGATCGTCAATCGACTGAATTTAAAACGGGGAGATTTGCCCGTTCGGTTGGCTAAGTGTTAAGTGGATGATAATTTAACTATTGGGTTGGCAACTAAGTAATTGCCGATTTCAGTTATAGATGTCTCTCACTCCCATTTTTATGATATCCGTAAATGTTATATTATAAAATTATTATTATTATTATGTTATTTTTTATTATCCGTGAATGTTAGCAACTGGACAAATTAAATGCAGCGGTCGAGGAAAAGCGACCAGAATTGGTCGATCGTAAAGGTGTCATTTTTCAGCAGGACAATGCTAGGCCGCACGCGTCTTTGTCCACTCGGCAAAAATTCATGGATATTGCTTGGGAATTGATGTTACACCCACCATATAGCCCTGATCTCGCGCCATCGAATTACCACTTGTTTCGATCCCTGCACAACTCCCTTTGTGGTAAAACTTTGAACGACGATGACGCTGTAAAATCTCACTTAACTCAGTTTTCGGCCGAAAAGGATCAGACTTTCTACGAGCGTGGAATTTTCAAGTTGTCAGAGAGATGGCAAAAGGTCGTCGAACAAAATGGAAAATACATTACAGATTAAACTTCGTTCCAAGTAAAAAAAATTTTTTATTTCATCGAACAAATCGGCAATTACTTAGTTGCCAACCCAATATTTTGCATTCTAGACGTCTTAGTAAAATTGGTCGACTCGCCGACCGAATCAATGTCAAATTTTATATCTGTAAAATCGGATGAAATCCATCGACAATGTATCGTTTATTTAACATCTCCTTTAATTCTCGCGGTTCGTATTCGATCCGTCAATTTTTCCTCTTCGATGCATAAAATCCGCGGTCCGAGTTTCGCGCGGTTCTCGCGACAACGTTCCTGCTTCATTCTCGTAATTCGAGAGGCGTTCCGCGACGAGCGGAAAAAGATACGATTCGCGCGAGCCGCGTCTCGGAATAACGTTCGTTTCGGAATCGGAGAGCAGTCGTGACGAAAGTCCTCGGTTCCGTTGATTTTTGTCCGGGCGTCGCGTTTCCCAGGTACTCTCGTCAGCGGGATGATAAATGCGGAGGCCAGCGGCTGCGCCTTCCTCCGTCGCGGCTTAACGACATTAATAATGAATCACGCCGCGATTTTGCTAGCTTTTACGATCGCGAGCGTCCGCCGGTGGGCGGTCGCCGAAGGTCTCCGCGGCCGCGCCGGCACGCCGGCGGTGTCGCGAAACCGATTTGCGCCGATTTTTCCCGTCGCGGACGGATTTAATATCCGCCGAGCTTCCACCGGATTGACGTTAATTGCCGCCGGCCGACAAAGTGGCTCCGCGACCGTCGCGGGATCGCGATCGGATCTACGGATCGCGGATCTACGATTCTGCGTACCCTCTGTCCGCGTACCGATACGTATTCAGCTGCCTCGGAAATAAGCGCGTTTCAATTCATTAGGTTGGAAACTATGAAACGGACGTTTTTGTTTAGCCTGTGTTCAGCTGCGACTGTGTTCATTGTAATGTGCGCTCGATATTTTTATTTATAAATTTTAAAGGTATTCTTCTTATTCGTTTCGTAAAATTTCTTTTTTCGTGTTTGTATCCCATTTTTATTTTATTTTCCTCCGGAACCAGATGGAAACAAAACGCGATTCACATCATTCAACGCCCGTTTCATAGTTTCCAACCTAATGATATTCCGTGGACTTTAGCGGTTCAACGAACGCGTTGATCGCGAAACTGAACGATAAAAGTAACGTTACATCGTGGCAATTCGTTCTAGCAAGCTGAATTTTCCAGCTAGGATGTTTATAATGCGGACGAGTTAACTTGTATTAGAATTGGCATGAATTTTGTGAATTTAATTATTTAAAATTACAACGTACGATTTATCTGATACGATAAATCTAATAAGTATATCTACAGGCTGTCCCAAAAATGTCTCGTAATCCGGAAGTGGGAGGTTCCCGAGGTCATTCGAAGCAACTTTATCCTTTGCGAAAATTTTCTCCGTGGCTTCGTTTACGAGTTATTAACGAAAAACATTGACCAATAAGAATCGAGTACGGCTGATGCGAGGCGGCCCAGCGAGGCAACCAGCGCACGAAGCCCAGTTCCGCTCATTGGCTCGGTCGCCTCGCGCCAGCCGTGCTCGCCTTTCATTGGTCACTGTTTTTCGTTAATAACTCTTTAACGGTGCCTCGAAAAAAATTTTAAAAGGAAAAAGTTGCTTCGAATGACCCAAGGAACCCGCCACTTTCGGATTGCGAGACATTTTTGGGACAGCCTGCATATACGCCAGTTAGCGACGCTGATATCGAACGTATCGAAATGCCATTCGCTGCGATCAATTTTAACGCTTTAGTTTCGATATCGTTCTTTAAGTGACTTCGATTTTGCGGGAATTCTTGCGTTTCATTTTCGACGCGTCGAGGGTTGAAATAAAAAACGCTGCTTCGAACGATCGGCAGAATTTCCCAATTTCGACGCGCGGCCGTCAGAGACGAAGTCGCGATTCTTAACGAAGACGGAAAAATTAATGCATGGTATATCCAGATAGATAGTTTAGGCTCGCGAAGAAATTAATGGACAGTTTATCCGTATCACGGCGGACGTTTCAACGGGGCACGATGCGTAGGGGCGCGGGGGGAAGAACCGTTCGAACAGGGGAAGGAATTGGTCGGCGTCGCGTTCGCTCGGCAAGGAGGACGCTTAGTCGGGTAGCTATAAAGACAAATAGTGGTGAAACGAGCCCAACGAGGCCTAATGACGCGTATTTGCATCGGTCATTAGGACGGCCGAGAAACTCCGTTCCCCCGGGGGGTAATTCCGTCGTCGCGCGCGTCGTCCGTCGTCCGTCGGCTGGACAAAAGGGGACGAGCCGGCGAGTCGCAACCGAGTAAAACGCTTATCGCGGCTCGTGAAAGCCCGCTTTTCTTGCGCAACCGCTTCTCGCCGCTTCTGGCTGGCGTTCTTTTTTCGACGGGTCAGCCCTGTCCCCGTTCGCGAAACCCCGCTGGAACACCGACAGAGGCTCCTCCGCCGCTTCTGATAAAACCGGTCATTAATCTTCGCCGAGGAGCGGACGCGACGAAACGTTTCCAGCTAGCAAAATTGAGCACGCTCGTCGCTCGGGTCCGCCGATTTCAAATTTTCCAGTGGAATCCACGAATTGGTCGTATCTGAACATGCTATCGAATACTTTGAGTTCGCGGTAGTTGATAGATCGACGATTTATCCGCAGAATCGATTTTTCTAAATGAAATTAATTGGCGATTTATACTGTCCGTTAATGATTTCTTCTGGCAACAAACACAGCGAACGATCGATTATGTAATATTTGCAGAGATATCGATGCTTCGCTTCGTCTGTGCTACAATAGGAGCGCGCGATCTGTGATCTAATCGCCGAGAATCTGTTCGCACCGAAATGATCAATTTTTCTTTGATAAGCGATAAATAACCGGCACCCTGATGCCGATACCCACTTGGCATACTTGCTGCTTCAGTTTCGTGGCAATTAAAAAGAAAACGCGGTCACACTGTCCGTCTTACCGAAGAAAATACGCTCTCGAAAGCGAATCGAATTCGCGCAGAACGCGCGCGATCTCCGTTCATTCTCCCCGAATACCAAGAATACCGATTACAATCATTACGGTAACGTTAGAATAAAGAAACGAAACCAATATATAATATAACGCCGAATAGAAATTGTTTATAAAATGACGCGGTAAAAACGGACCGCGGGTTCTGTCGCTGTCAGCGTTCGACCCCCGGCGAGTCGAAAGGGGAGAGTTAGGTGCATACGCGACGAGCATACGTTTCCAGAACTGCCCCGATGCAAGGAGAACGTCGGACGACTCAATGAGTCACCTGGTTAATAATCGCTAACGAGGATTGACAGTGATTCGTCCCCAATTGCGCGAGGGGCGAGGCATCCGCGAACTCCGTCGCGCGATCATTCGAACGAAATGTCGGAGCACGCCGCGGCGCGGCGGGGTCGGGGGTCGTTCCGGTTCAAGTGTCAACGAATCCGCACGCGGGATAATTAGGATGTCGCCTAGACTCTCTAGACCGCCGTTTATTTTGGTCGGCGTCGCCGACTAGAAAGCCGCGAGGGGAGAAGAGGGAGCCGAGGAAGGGAGGAATGGGGTGGATTTTATGGTGCCCGATAACGGTGGTGGCGCGCGCGCGCGCGCGGTTTCAATCGTCGGGATCGCCGGGCCTGATCTTGACTGGCCGGTGATTGCTGTTTATGGTCGCGGGCAAATTACTATAAGTCGCGCCTCCGACGCGAAAACTCTCCGGTTTAATTAAGGTCGCGCCGCGCGTGGTCGCGTCTTTCCGCGATGAGATAATTACGGGCGCTTCGTTTGCCGACGCGCCGGTAATTATCATCGGACTGCCGGTATTTAAACGTTTATGGTGTTCGCGTAGCAAACGTTAACGGCGTTGTTGTTCGGTGAATTAATTACTGCGCGTTCGTAAAGATTTGCGCGAATCGCCGCGGCAGAATTGTTATCGAACGATTGAGAGCTACGGTTAAATTTTCTCCAATTTTCTTTCGACTTTTAAGCAAAAATAGACAATTTGGAAAGAGGTGATACGCTAGGCTCGAATTTTGCCTCCTCCCAAATCGTCCATTTTGTCTGCAAGCTGAAGGAAAATTAGAGAGAATTCGCTGTAACGATCGAAGCATCGTTGCTGGAATTTTTCATTTGCGACCCAAGTAGACTCTATTCTGTCTCGCTCCGATCGGCGATCTACCGAAAACGGTGACGCGACGGTAAGGAGGGAAATCCACTATCTTACAGGTAGTTAAATTCCTGGAGCACAAAGATGATGTCCATGAAAGCCAAAGTTTGCGTAAAACTGCGTATTTCCACCAACGTTTTTCGAAGAGCAACCGCGAAGTCGCATATTTTCACATCCGAGATGCGTCGCTTAAACCTCCGATCGTGCCAGTAGCAGCGTTTCAAATTACACAATTTTGTCCAGTCCGTAGAATTTCTTTCCGCGCTGTTTTTCCAGATGGAGATACGTCGAAATCGCGGCTGGCGGCGTTTTTTCTTGCAGCCAGAAAACGAATCGCGACAAGTTCCGTCGTGTTCGAGCTTACTCGCGGCGCCGGCTTTTGCTCGCGGCGCGGCGTATTTCCAGCGGTCGACGACGGATGCAAACGACGACGGGGACCGCGACGGCGACGGCGACGGCGACGGTGGCCGGGTCTTAATGGCGCGAGATATATCTCTGCTAGCGTGCAAAAGGAGAGGCCGCGCGTTTCTCGCATCCTGCGGAGCCGTGAGGAGGGTTTCGCGGCTCGGCCAAGGGAGATCGGGGCCGACGATAACGCGGCCGACGATTCCCGCTTGTCGTCGCGACGACGGACCTCCTCCCGTTTAGCCTTACGGCCCTAATTCGCGTCTAGCCGCGATAATTAGTCGACTGGAGATCGCCGGTCGACCGACGGCCTCTCTCGTTCTCACACTCGAATTTTCTCTATTCGCCCTTTGACCGCGAAGGACGCGTTTATACGCCCCCGTAGAATTTACAAAGTATCCACGAAGGACGTACATGCATATATATGTACGTCCAGATGTCTCGCCAGTCCCGTGCAATTAATTATTCGCGGCTGTTCCAACGTCTTCTTCGACGCGCAGCTTAATCTCGCGGAAAATTACGAGCACGCTTTCGATATTTTCGCGAAGAAGCGAAGCAACGAATCAGAATCTTTTTATCGCTGGCTTGTAAAACAATCTTTCAAGATTATCGGAGCATTTTTTCCATTTGCTCGGCTCGCAAAATCGCGACGCTTTCGCGAGAACCTGTTTTCGCTCTTGCACGCGATTCCTTCATTTTCCGTGCTATTCTCGTACGATTCGCGTCGAACATCTTATTGCACGGACATTCTGAGAGGTGCCCAGATTCGTTTAGACACTGGCGAGTATCGATACCGAGATGGCGGAGCCAGGAAAAAATTGTTCAGCCTCGGAGGACTGCCTCGATCTCGAACGTCTTGCCTGTCCTCCGCGTTTCGTTGAGTTTTCCCCCAGGTGTCGTCATTCCCACGCTTGCAAAACCGATTAGCCAGCATCCGCGACGATAGCGGGAGTGTCAGTGGCTTCTGTGGATTGCAGAACATCGGCTCGAGTGTGCCGGTCGCCGGAGTTCTACGTTTCGTTCGCCGCGGTGCTCCACATTCACCGGAGAACCTGAAATTCTGCTGGCTCGCGGCGTGTTCGGCGATTTGTTTACGCCCGGTGTCGAAAACAGGAAATATTCCCGCGCGCGGTTTCCTCGTCCCCACGCGATGTCGTAACACCGTGCGTGGTGTCTCCGATTTCGTACCGATCAGCGGCCGACCGATGAACTCGCGTGAACCCGCCAAACAATCGGTTTCCTAGTGCGAATTCCGCGCGGCTCTGATTCCGCTCGGCTCTGATTCCTCCGGCTAAGCGGTTTTTTCCTCCTCGGGTACACGGCTGGATATCGGAGGCGAACGACCGAACGCGGAAAGTAGACTTCCATACTCCGCGATGGAGGCGTTCTGTAAACATTTGCCAAACCGGAGTCTCGCAGTCCAAGCGAAAATGCAGGAACGCGTTCGTCGCTGCTCGACAAATTTTGGAGGAAAATCGACCGACTTTGACCGACGATAACTCCGCGTAAAATCATCGTAGAACGATGACTTTTTTCTGAAATTAAAGCTCGAAACTTCTACATTAAGACGCTATTTCCCGATTTTAAGTTCGGCGCGGCTTCGCGATTGTGACCCTTTAAATGCAAGGGCATGTTTGTCGCGTCGAAAATTGTCAGGCTCATACATTGGCCAACTTTGATCGACGACAACTCTGAGAAAAATCATCGTAGAACGATGACTTTCCTCTTAACTTAAAGCTCGAAACCTCTACAGTAAGACACTGTTTCTCGATTTTAAGTTTGATGCACCTACATTACTGTGACAATTTAAATGCGGAGCCACGTGTGCCATATTTCGGATGAAAACGCGGATAAAAATTGGTCAACTTCGATTGCCGATGACTCCATGAAAAATTATCGTAGGACGACGATTGTTTTTTTAAATTAAAGCTCGAAACTTCTACTTTAAGACAACCTTCCTGGATTTTAAGTTTAGTGCGCCCTTGCCACTGCGATCCTTTAAATTGTGCCACCCTTAAAATTACCAAGCTCGACGAAACGCGCGGACTTCGTCAAATGTTTTCCACACACGCCGTTTGCGTTAGTATGTCGATGGATAAATAAAAGCGAAATTTCCGTGCGATCTGTGATCGTCCGAAGCCACCTTCGCGCGATAAAATCGATTCGCCCAGCCGAGTTCGGATCGAAGATCGTGCAAGGTTAAAAATCCCGATCTGTCCAAGCTGGCTCGCGCGGGCAGAAAAGAGCACACCGCGCTCCAAGTCGAAGTCGAATGCGAGGAAGAATGGGCCAACTTGTTGGATCGCAAGGGCCTGATCCTCGCGGACATCTATTCGGAATGGTGCGGCCCTTGCATCGCGATGGTGAGCACCCTGAAGAAGATCAAGCTGGAGATCGGCGTGGATTCGATCGGCTACGCGATCGTGAAGAACGACAACATCGAGGATTTGGAGCGATACCGTGAGAAAAGCGAGCCCGTTTGGATGTTCATCCAAGATGGGAAAATGGTGAATCTGATGTTCGGCGCGAACTGTCCTCATTTGAGGAAGCTGATCGTTCACGAGATTAAAAGGGTGCAGGCCGGCGAGCCGCCGGAAATGAAATTGAACGTCCGCGACAGGACGCCGATGGAGGAGGTTTTCTGGCAGAAGGAGCAGGCCATTAGGTTCTTTCTATAATTCGATTAATTATTAGACCGCGGATATCGTGCAAAATAGAAATTGCATCGATCTATCGATTGCGAGAAACAGGAGACAGGCGCAAGTTTCCTTCCATCTTCGATCATTTTAACCCCTTTGCACTCGAAGCTATTTTAACTGTAAATGTAAGATCATTTTTTTAACTTATAGTATTTTCATTTTATAATAATAATATAATAATATAAATATATAATATAATATAATATATATTATATATAATATTATTATATTATTTATTATATTTATATTATTATATTATATTATTAATATTAATATTATTATATTTATATTATTATATTATTATTATATATATATTATATATAATATATATTATATTATATTATATATTTATATTATTATATTATTATTATAAAATGAAAAAATATATATATATAATAATATATAATATAATATAATAATAATAAATGCATTTTACATATATGAAATTGACTCTTGGGATCCAAGTTACACTCTCCACAATTTCTTAAATCTAAACTTTGTTAATATCAAAATTATCTTAAAACGTGATCTGACAAATTTTAGTGGTGCCTCAGAGTCACCACTCGAGTGCAAAGGGTTAATACCTTCAAATTAATACATCGACGTTCTCGGTTCGTTCCTTCCACCGTTTTAAATTATGCCTACTCGTTTTTGCCGTAAACGCGTCAAATCCGCAGTCTATCAATTTTCAAATCTCCGACTGCGATTCTTGGAAGATCTTCGGATCTTCAGCATTTAAATCTTCCGGTTAGAATTTTTTCAAGTGGAAATCGATCGACCGTCCGTTTCCAGAAGAAAATGGAACGTGGAACGATCGCTAAACACCGCGTTTCAATTCGATTTCCCGTCAAGAGCAGCGCGACGTTACGGTTTTTCGCGTTACACGGATTTACCGCCGCGTTTATTTGTCTCCGGCACCGTATCGACGGGCTCGCGAGCAACGTGCGCGCATCGGCGGCGACGCCTATATATAATTTCGAAGTTTATTCTATCCGTGTCTATTTCGAGTGGGAACACGTGAGTCTCGTCGCCGAAGTTCGCGAAACGGTTTCCGAGCGGCACTCACGTGTCGCATGTACGTGCCATTCACGCGTCCGCAGACACGTTCGCGAACTTGGTTTCACGCGCAACCGGTCTGCCGAATCGCGAAATCAAAGCCACGTTGCTGTCCTTATTTTATACACGCTGTACCAAACGTCGCGACTCGATTCTTTATATAGAAACAACCGATCGGAGCGCGGCGACTCGCCGTTAGAAACAATCGCGACTCCATCGTATCGTTCCGATGGTTCGCCTTGCATCGACCTCGAAGATGCGACCTTTGCGAAAGGTTGTATTCTCAGAAATGCGAGCTTTCGCGAATCGTCCTTAACGCTAAACCTATCGCGGTCAAAGCGACCGCTTTCTTATTTCGCAATTCTGCAAAGTTCCAAGACTCTTTCGTGGGAAACGCTTGAATAAGTTATATCATTGGAGCAAGTTTTATAATAAAAACTTGACAAATTCCAAATAAGTTCGGTCTTCTCACTTTTGTGAAGCAGTACATGCCAGTTAGTATTACTGCTCGGTAAGTTTAGTGTTAAAAATACGAGCTTGACACAGGGTTCTCGAAAGTCTTAGAAGTTCCCCGAGCCCCAAATTCGCGTCTTCGACGCGATCCGGATAGCTTTTCCTAAAAAATAACGTTCTTTGCGAAAGGTTATATTCTTAACCGTTCGAGTCCCAGGAGTTATTCAGAAAACATGGTCGAAAAATGCCGAACAGCGTGATAGCACTTGTTTTAATTGATCGCGAAGAGAACCAAGCGGCGCGATAGCTCTCGTCAAGATTAACGAACAAAACGAAAAGAAAAAAAAAATTAGAAAAAGCAGCTATGCGATGCACGTGCGTCGCTAAAGTTTGATCGCGACACAAGATCTGAGCAGCGCGTTCGCGCTGCTTGGGACTCGAGCGGTTAAAAATACGAGCTCGACACAGGGTTCTCGAAAGTCTTAGAAGTTCCCCGAGCCCTGGATTCGCGTGTTCGACGCGATCCGGATAGCTTTTCCTAAAAAAATAACGTTCCGAGAACCGATCGAGACGGCCGATCGATCGGAAAATTTGACCGAAACCAGAAAAGCGAAAGAGGACCGACAGCGTGCCAAGGAGGAGGCCGAGAGGAAAGAGAAGTACGAGGCGTTCCTGGCACAGATGATGTTCGAGCTGTGCGAGGAAACCGCGCTGGTGTTCTATCCGTGGGTGTTCAGGGACGAGGAGGGTCGCTACAGGGACAAATACGGGAGCCCTCCGTACAGCGACCTGACCACCGCTCTCTTCAAGCATAACTTCGACATCCAGGAGGAGCAGAGGCTGCTCTTCACCGAGGAGATCCTCGAGAAGATGCTGGTCGAGAGCAACGTCGAGATGACGAAAGAGCTGATCGCAGGTGCGTCCTGGAATCTCCTGCACGACTTTCTCTTCCAATGGTTCCTCGATCATCGATCGCGTTCGATACGCCGCGCGATCTATGCGGATACGCGGTTAATCGGAATCTGGAGCTGCCAGGTGCGACGATGCGTTCATCGAGTGCGCCCGTAATTCGCGTCGCATTCCGCTGCGCTCTGGGTTACATTCCTGCGATCTGCAGTCAGTGTTCGTTAAGCGTCGATGAGGGCATTATTATTGGCGATGGATCGAGCTGTACCCAAAGTACAGTAGGGCAAAGGCGATTGTCCGGGAACGGATCGAATTCTAGAGAGGAATGAATCGCTCTAGAATTTCGTTGTCGCGAGCGATAGCTAGGATAAACGTTGGGTTGTGTAACAAGTCCGTTCGCGGTCCTCTGGCCACCTAGAAAAAGACGAATTCAAAGCGATGGTTCGGATGCATTTTAAGACGTATTCCCGTGGAGCTGTTTTTATGCGACGTAGCTTAAATGAAAGCTGGAAGCGTCCACTTTAAGACGGGGTAGATTATATTGCAATAAAATGATGAGAACGTTTCGAAAAGTTAGAAGGAATCGACCTATGATATCATGGGGTATGCAAGATTTCAAAGAAAAAGTTCAGATTTAAGATACGTTCCCGTGAAGCTATTTTTATGAAATGTAGCTTAAATGAAAGTTGAAAACATCTACTTTAAGACAGGGTAGATTATATTACAATAAAATGACGAAATCGTTTTGAAAAATTAGAAGGAATCGACCCATAATATCATGAAGTATGCAAGATTTCAAAGAAAAAGTTGAGATGGATTTTAAGATACGTTCCCGTAAAGCTATTTTTATGAAATGTAGCTTAAATGAAAGTTGAAAATATCTGCTTTAAGACGGGGTAGATCATATTGCAATAATATGACGAGATCGTTTCGAAAAATTAAAAAGAATCTACCTATGACATCGTGGGCTATGCAAAATTTCAAAGAAAAAGTTTCGATGGATTTTAAGATACTTTCCCGTGCAGCTATTTCTATGCAACTTAGCTTGAACGAAAGCTCGAAGTGTCTACTTTAAGACAGGGTACTACATTTCTTCACAAAAAAATGCGAGCGGACTTGTTACACAACCTCTAATAGAATAAGGAGGGACCATGAAATGCAGGTCCGACCATTTAGCGGCCGAATTTTCAAGTCCGGTAGCGCCTCGTTAATTGGCACAGCCCCGCGAGAACGTTAAACGGACGCTCGTTCTCAGGATTTACCGACGACAAGACCCTGGCCCTTCGCCTGAAGGGCAGACGACCTCACCCCGACTGGCCAGTCCCGTACCCGTACGATTGCCCGAAGGGAGCAGCCTTGTGCCCCACTCGAGAGATCGACGACGTCGAGAACTACCTTTTCCATCTGCTGAACAGCAGCAAGCCTTTGGTCCACGAGTCCGTAGATCTGAACACCACCGAATCGTACATGCGGAGACACGTCTACGTCCACGAACCCGACCCCGAGGTGCCGGAGGACTTTCCGCGGCAGCATCCTGCCGTTTGGATACCTCCTCAGGTATCGATCTTCGTCGAACGGAATGACGGAATAACTTGAATGACTCGAATTTGAACGTCGTTCAGGCATAATCGAACCACGCCCGCGATCTATAGGCCAGGAGCAAAGTGAACGCGTTCCTGACCCTCTTCGGGAACTACATGGAGCGGGTGCATCCTTACGAAGAACCATTGCCGCCGATTCCATATTGCGCCTTCAAGTTCCACGCCGACAAATTCGCCGCGGTGTACGACACTTGCACCCAGTTCCCCGACGCCGTGAAATACTTCGGGGCGTTCGAGTTCGACAAACCGCCGTACGCCAGGCGGATGGCTTCTAGCCCGGACGACTTCCAAAACAAGGTCCGCCGACTCGTTTCTCTCCTTCGTCGAATCAGAATCTCTCGGATCCAGGGAGAAATCGATTTTTGATGTTATAAATAGACTAATAAATTCTCCCTAATTTTCCTCCAACTTGGACAGAGAAAATAGGCAATTCGGGAAGAGCTGATACGATTATTCGAGCCTCGACCTTTCGAGATTCTATTTTTATAGTTGTCGATGGCCAAGGATTATAAAAACGAGATGCAAGGCTCAAATTTTCATCTTCATAGACTATAAATACAGTAAATTCTCCCTGATTTTCCTTCAACTTGCAGAGCAAAAGTGGACAATTCGGGAAGAGCAGATATTCGATTGTTTGAGCCTCGCGGCTCTGGCGACCCTATTTTTATAGTTGTCGATGGCCAACGATTATAAAAACGAGGTGCAAGGCTCAAATTTTCATCTTCATAAACTATAAATACAGTAAATTCTCCCTAATTTTCCTTCAACTTGCACAGCAAAAATGGACAATTCGGGAAGCGCAGATACGATTACTCGAGTCTCGACCTTTCGAGACCCTATTTTTATAGTTGCCGATGGCCAACAATTATTAAAAAAACGAGGTGCAAGCCTCGAATTTTTATCTCCTCATGTAACAGAAAATTTGGCAAATGAATATCTTTTTCGAGATAGTAGTTACACGCAGAAATTTGCTAAAGTCTCTATTACACGAAAATGTTTATCGTTGATTTGCTGTCTCAAAAATCGATTTCTCCCCGGCTCTGCTCCGAATCCAGGCTTTCCTTATTCGGGTACGTTGCATCGCCGAATTTTAACGGATTTCTAAGTTCTATTTCTCACTACCTTCGCACAGGTACGATACAAAACCGGTGGCGAGGTGTTCGTAGTGATCGTCGAAAGGATCTCCGACGACGTGTTCCTGTCGTTCGCCAGCAACGAGCCGTACTTCGTCACCGAGGTCGACGAAGACGCGCAGGCGATGATAGACGAATACTTCCCCGAGGGTGTCGAAGACATGCCACCGGACATGTTCGCGATGATTCAGGAGGAAGAGGATCAAGATTACGAACAGGAAGAGGAAGAGGAGGAGGAGGAGGAGGAAGAAGTGGTCGAAGAGGTGGAGGACCCCGAGGAGATCGATGTAGCATACAATTTTCTGTGAAAGTGCTGCACTTCTTTTCTTTTTAGAACGCATTCCTAGACCTTGACGAGCTCTCTTCTCCGTGACAAAGTTCGACGATAACGGAATTGTAAGCTCGACAGACATTTTAGAGAGCATTCTCTCGATTTAGTGTAAGGCTTCGTCGAATGTACCGTGAAAAAATAACAAGATACAACGATGCGTCGAGGTATCCGAAGAAACAGAGTCAAGGAACTGCGGTAATTTTCCCCGGAAATGTTCGGAGGTCGGAATCGAAACCGGCAGATCCGAGAATACGAAGTCGCGATTCTTCGCGATTCTCTCGGCTTGTTTTTATAATAATAGCAAGTCGGGACAGTCGGCAAGAAAGGCAACGGCCAGCACGCCGGTGTCATTGATACGAATACATGGTAATGCTATGTTAAAAAACGATGACTTTACCTTTTTATTTCGAATTTTTTGCCGCGATTCGAAGGCAATTCAGAGGCCACATGCCGCGATTCGAAGGCAATTCGGAGGCAATTCGGAGGCCACATGCCACGATTCGACGGAGATCGATCGCGTACCTTGTAACTCCTCGTTTTTTTACCTGGCTCGCGCTCAAAATAAACCATTTTGCGTTGACTTCCGTCGAACCTTAGCATCGATGTAGCAATGAATCGCATAGGCGTAGGACTAGCACGGGACTAGGATAATAGCAAGTCGGGACAGTCGGCAAGAAAGGCAACGGCCAGCACGCCGGTGTCATTGATACGAATACATGGTAATGCTATGTTAAAAAACGATGACTTTACCTTTTTATTTCGAATTTTTTGCCGCGATTCGAAGGCAATTCAGAGGCCACATGCCGCGATTCGAAGGCAATTCGGAGGCAATTCGGAGGCCACATGCCACGATTCGACGGAGATCGATCGCGTACCTTGTAACTCCTCGTTTTTTTACCTGGCTCGCGCTCAAAATAAACCATTTTGCGTTGACTTCCGTCGAACCTTAGCATCGATGTAGCAATGAATCGCATAGGCGTAGGACTAGCACGGGACTAGGAATTCACAGCAACCCGAAATTTGGCATTTCCGGGAGAAATTATTGTACTTGGAATAAAGTAGACTGGAATACCGCGCTTCGGTAATCGTGTCGCTCGGTAATAAGATCGCAGAGTACGCGATTCCAAAGAAATCGCTATAAATTCATCGAGAAACGCACGAACGTCGATGACCACGTTATTATAGACCACAATAACGCTTCGTTATCGGCACAATTTATGTGTGATCGGGCGAAAAGAAACTTCCAAAGAGCGTCGAAACGGTCTCTGTTACCTGTTGCATCGCCTCTAGATCGATGTCCGATAAAACGAAACGAAATCGAAGTACAAACGAGGCGCACAGGCGACAGCACATTACAGGCAGTCCTTTGTGTTCGACGATACTTCTGTTTAGTCTGCGAGCGTTTAACGCGTCCGTGGGATCGATCGACAATTCCGTATAATTCCGACGAAGCTTTCGGTCCCGGCTTCGGCGAGAGATTCCATTCTTCGCGCGTTTTGGCAGAGCCGGATCATACTCGAGCGTTCGCTGCCGCTGGCAACGCGCGTTTGCGTAACTCTGGCAGAATTCCAGCCGGCGCACTAAAGCTTCTATTACGCACCTGCCGAGCTGCCAATTTTTTCCCGCGACCGGCCAGCGAGCGCTGCCAAGCCCGCTTCAAAACAAAGCGTGCTTCTCGCTCGCTTCGCGCGGACCGACGCGGATCGACGCGGCGAGCCATCCTCGCCGCGCTTCCGCTTTCCGGCGTCGATATTTCTCCATCCGGCGACTCTTGGTCAAGGTCTCGTTAGCGAATCCGTGGTTCTGCTAAACCAAAAAAAAAAAGAACGGTTGCCTCGGTTGCGCAACGATCCTTAAGATAATTAGGTGTCAGCCGGCGCTGATGCGTCGATCAAGGACATCCTTTCGAGATATTAGATCAACGCACCGTTCTAGATGCGAGAGCCGGCTAATGGGGTTTTCTTGGAACCGCGGGACGCTTCCCAGAGTTTTTCTCCTTTTTCTCATCAATCCTAGGCTTCTACAAGGCTACAAATTATCATCGTAAATGGCTGCTCTTTATGGACATCTTTATTCCCGGGAATTGTCCGTGTCGAGCCCGAGGTAGCATCGCGCGGGAAAAAATCGCGCGGCTCTCTCGACCCGCGCCTATTTTCGTGCTCGATGCCGCCTCTACTTTCGCGTCCTTGATTATTCGTTTTCTTTTTCTGTCGGAACTTCGATAACGAGAAGACCGTCGTTTTACGCAGGCGCAGGCGTTACGAAGTTCAACAAATTTGTCTCGCCGTTTCGATTACCGTCGATTCGACGATCGAAGTCTCGCCTTCGAAACGAGCACCCAAACTTCGACGCTGAACCTGCACCACGTCTGCCAAAATGACCGATCGTGAATTTTTTTCCTTTAAAAATGTTCGAATCGTAGATACCATTTCGCGGAAAACAATGAAATAAGTTTATTGATCATATAGCATACCACTTTATGGACCGGTCGTGGTTTCGAGGCTGCCACTCGGTAAGGACCGGCTTAGTCGCACGCGCATTTGCTCGCAGTACCGGCTAAATTTTCGCTATTCGTTGTGTTGTGCGTTTAGAAATAATAATAAATAATAATTATAATTATAATTCATAAAGATATGGAGAGGTTAGTATACAGCTACTAACAAAACAGTAAAGAAACGAAAACCGTCGATAGCTAAAAGCCGATTACAGTAATGTCTCTCTAATTGACGCTCAGATTATAGTAATGTCTCCCTAACTGACGCTTAGATGTCCACAAAAATGGACAATTTAGGAGGAGGAGATACGATTATTCGAGCCTTGCGGTTTATTGTTATAGTTATAAATTGCCCACAGTTATACTCCTCTTCCCAAATTATATATATTATTATTATTATATTATTATTTATTATTATTATTATATTATTATTTATTATTATTATTATATTATTATTATTATATTATTATTATTTATTATTATTATATTATTATTTATTATTATTATTATATTTATTATTATTATTATTATTATTATTTATGTATATTATTATATATTATTATTATTGTCCACTAAAGTGGACAATCTGAGCGTCAATTAGAGAGACATTACTGTAACAGGCTATCGGTCGATAAGCATTGGCAATCGAAAAGCCGATTAATAGGCTAGCGGTCGATAAAGTGATATCATAAAAAAAAGCGAAAAGTCCGAATAAATATAACCTTGCGGTTTTCAGCATTCGCTTTCACCAACCGCTCGGCGTTAGGTGCAAGGGTCAAAGGTTATCCGAGTTCGGGAACAATGGGAAGCGCCTCGCGGTGTGTTCCTGCCTCCGAATCCGCCGCGCCGCGGCGAACATCTAAATCAGAATGGCCGATTTAGCTGGAAGATTTAGCACGCGCCGCGGGTGACTAACGTTTCGTCGGCTAATGATTCAATTGTTCGCACCACTTGGCGAAGTTTAGTCAGCGCGACAAAGCCAGCGAGCAGACTTTCTCGGACGGAGGACGCGCGTCTCGTTCTCGTTGCCAGGGAATCTCGATCGATCCGCCCTGCCCGTCGAAGCTGATTCTAATCGATTCGTTGCTGCTGCTGCTGCTACAATGTTCGATCGGCTGCACCTTGGACAATCTAATTTCATTGTCTCATTCCGCAACGACGACGTTCCGGTATAATAAAACGACATGAATTTGCTCCGTTGCCGTTTCGTTCCCGATCGATTCGGTTGCATCCGATCGGAGCGAATAATTTTCAGACAGTCGCGATTCTAATATCGATCGACGATCATTCTTTGAACGGCGGACTTTTTTCAGCATTTATGACAGCCGCGGCTCGATCCGTTCGAATCTTTACGATTAATTGAGCCGATTCTGTCGAACCTTAGCATCGATGTAGCAATGAATCGCATAGGCGCAGGACTAGCACGAGACCTAGGAATTCGCAGCATCCCGAAATTTGGTATTTCCGGGAGAAACGATTGTACTTGGTATAAAGTAGGCTGAAATGAGCCGTTAAACGAGCCGATACCGATATTTTTCTCGGTATAAATAATTTCGTATAAACATTACAAAATCACCACTTTTCATTACGGTAAAGTGACTTATGCCACTTTCAAAATAAACGGCTCAATTCTCATTTGTACATTATTGAAACCTCTTTATCGAGATCCAAGTTTATCTTTTTAGAAGTTTCAATATCGATAGTTAACGCTTAGATACGAGTGCCACAAAATTAGATGGAACGTTTGTAACACTGGGTCCAAACGGACCCGGCGCCCGCCATCCAAGGCCTACGGAGAATTCGTATAGTCGCTCGAGGAGTATGTGTAAAGAAATAATTGCTGGGGGAATACCTTGGCGCCGAATCTCGTGGTCGGTCAAGAGGATGAAGCGCTCCTTTTCTCTCACTTTTTCTCTCTCTTTTTTTTCTCTCTCTCCCTCTCTCTCTGTTTTTATTCCGGTAGCGCCGGAGGCGGTCAATTGCTTAAACGTCGGTAATTATTGCACAAGCATTACATAAGTAAACAGTCGGAACGCGTCGGTCGAAGGGAGGGAGGTGGGCGAGAAGGGGAGAGAGGTCCGGCGAAATAAAGGCGGAGGGGGGAGGAAAAAAAAGGCGCAAATTACAGTTGCAGGCAATTCACGTCCGTCGCCGCCCGCGTTTACCGGCCATTAACGATCGTTTCGTCTTCTTCCCTCTTTGTTCCGCGATCCGCCGCGATTTCCGTCCACGCAACCCGATCAACGCGAGACCACTTTTCGCGGACGCGCGAAAATTACGACGGGGCCCGTGGGCGGCGGGAATGAGTAATCGCCGGGCGATCGACGATCGCTCCGGGCGCTCGATCGGTTCCGCTACCGATCGTCGATCTTGGATCCTGCGGGAGCTCGATCCTTCGCATCGCGCCTCGTTGTTTCGCCGGCGATTCTGTTTACGATTTCGACAGATTTATGCGGCTTTTTATGGGCGAGCGAGCCGCGTTTCCTAAAAGGATCGCGACTCGATGGCGCACGACTAAATCAATTGTCCGGCTAATTTTCCCGCGATTTTACGTTTCAAGACGCGAGGTTACGAATAAATCGAGATCCTCCCTCCGGTCGACGGGAAGATGGTCCGCGATGGATATTAACGATAGATAGCCGAGATATTAACGATATACAGGGTGTCCCAGGTTTTAGTGTTCAA